TCTGCCCTCCTGAGTTGGAGACTCTTCCTAGACTTAAATTTGGTTTGGAAAACTCAGTGACTTGGGGAATGTACATTTTGAGCTCCAAAAGGCGTTTCAGTACAAAAGATTTAAACTGCTCAAGGCCAAAATCACATTGGGATCAGTGAAGTTAAGGGATGAGATGTGTTGGGATGGTTTGGCACCCAGTTGGACCCGAGTTCTGGCAGGACAGGAACATCTCCAAACACCCTGACAATGAGCTGTGCAGTCATTTCATCACACCTGTCCCATCCTGAGAGCCCTTGGGGTGTCAGTCCCTCATGACAAAAGGCTCTGGCTGATGAATTAAGAGCTGGGCTATGGAAAAGTTGCCCTTTGGGCAGCCTCGTGTCCACCAGGGCAGGGGGACCCCTAAAACAGCAGCCTGATGGTGGGGGTGGTGTTTGTGTGAGGGGGTGGACAAGTGATGGGGCAGGAACTCCTGGTGTGTGTCAGCTGGGCGACAGAGCAGCTGCACTCCTAATTAAGGGGGGATAAATCCAGAGCAATTCCTTTTGGGTTCAGCAGGGGATGTTTTCCAGAGTTCCCACAGAGCAGGGAAGGTCTAGGAAGTGCCCTGGGTAAGAAGCTGTTCAGAGATATTGAGGGATATTCCTTGGGGGACAACTCCCCAAAAGGCAGGAGGAGATGCATGGCCTAATCCCAGAGCTCAGGGGGTGAGGAGCAAGTTGGGCTGGGCAGATCCCTCCGGATGGAGAAAGGCTTCGGATGGGAGAAGAAGGTTTGTTGACACTTCTGCCACAAGTCTTTTCCAAAATGCTGCAGCTCTTCACCTCTGGAAGCTCGTTTCCCACGCAGGATCAGCTCCCAGATGTCCTGCTCAGCTGTTTTCCCTGTATCACCCATCCATCCCATATTTTTCCAGAGTCACTTCTCCCAGTAATCGACATTCGGGAGCGTTGCTGCCAGTCTGGCTCTGATGGAGCTGTGCCAGGATGCCCACGTGGTGTCTGCTCTCCAATTTCTCACTTCTGGGGTAATTCCTCAAGTACCAAACTTGCACTTTTCGTGTCACAACACGTGACTTTGGGCAGGAATAAATTCCCACTTGGACCGAAGAAAGTGGATTTCCAGCAGCACAAAACTGAAGACATAAGGTTGCTCGTGTTTTTACCCTCAGAAAATGCTCATAAATCCTGTTTTTGAAGAGTTTCTGAGGTGTGGGCAATAAAGAATGAGGTGGATGAGCTTAAAATAGAACATGAGGGTGTTTGGCAGGGGAAAATACTTTGGCTTCATCTGGCTGAGGCGAAATCGTCCTGGGGCTGTTGCAGCTTCGAAGCTCAGCAGAAACAAACTGGTTTGCAGAGGGTTAGGGGAGAATTAGTAAAACAGAATAAGGGAATTATTTGGGTTGGAAAAGTCCTCCAGGATCATTGAATCCAGCCACTCCCCCAGCGCTGCCAAGGGCACCACTGACCCATGTCACAAGTGCCACATCCACAGGGATTTTGAACACTTTCAGGGATGGGGATTCCACCCCTGATCTGACCCCAAAGGCACTTAAACCCCTCTTTTAAAATCTACTTCCTGAACCCCTTTACAATTCATCTCCTAAAAAGAGGGAGCCTAAAAGCCATTAATCCAAAGCAGCATCACACCAGAAGGAAAGGGGTGAGCAGAGCTGGAGAAAACAGCCCAGAAATCTGAAAAATATACATGAAAAATTAAAGGCAGCTCTAAAACACCTCCTTGCTGCAGCCCCACGTGGTCCTGGTTGTTTGTTGGAGTTTTTGCAGCAGCTCTTCCCAGAGCTGTGTGTTTTCCCTGGGGAGAACATCAAATGAACACTGGCTTCCTTGCTCCTATTGATTGTGGAGATGATATTAAATTAAAATAAAGGCAGAGAACAACTTTTGATTTCTTGGGCGAGGAGTCTCATCAATTTTGTTCAATGTGTTTTCACCTCATTTTCTGTTTCTGCATCATCACAAGGCCTAGCAGAGCCAGGGGCCCTTCAGGGGCAAATGCATACAAGGAGAAAGGAAAGGATATTTTCCTTCTGTCCCTGATATTTTCATGTCAAGGGGGTTTGATCCTCTTACTTGTTATTTTTTGATTCAGGGTGACAAGATGTGGCAGGAAGGGAGCAGGATCTGTCTGAGGAACAGGGATTTCCAGGGGGGAAAATCAGACACTCCTGAGCCCATTCCTGATTCTTGGATCCAGACACCCATGGAATGTGGATCATCCTGAGGGACTACAGCTTTTGCTTCCATGAAGAGGCTTGTTTGGGGTTATTTGGGAGATGAAGAAGAGACAAGAAACAAACCCCATCTCTCTTTCCCCTTAAACCCCCCAAAAAAGGAGAAAGACCAGTGGTTGAGTCCCAACCTGGAGGGTTTTAAAGTAGGTGTGGATGTGGCACTTGGGGACATGGTAGCCTTGGCAGTGCTGGGTTGGACTCGATGGCCTTAAAGGTCTTTTCCAACCTCAGTGATCCCATAATTCCATAAATACACCTTTGTCTCCACCTGCCCAAAATAACCCTGGAGTCTCAAGAAGTGTCTGGCTGGAAAACCTGTCCCAAAGCCACAGTTTTCCTGTGGTCTGAGAGTGGTTGGATTTATTTCAGGCTGGTTTTTCTAAAACCCCTCAATACTGGAAATTTTGGGGGTGGTATTTTGAGGTGGGTTTAGAAGTGGTTTTTTTAGAGGTGGCTTTTAGAGGTGTTTTTTTTGCTGGATTTACCAGCAGGTGCTGGAGGTGTCTCAGGTGGAACTCATGGCCACCCAGGACTATATTTGTCATGGTTCAGACTCAATTAAGGACTGTTATTAAAGATTAGGGGATTCAGGAATTGTCTGGGGGCATTACCCAGCTGCAAAGATCAGGAGAACCTCTTGGTGCTCCATGAGTTTGTCACCTGGATCCCATCCCTCGTGGATGAGCAGGGTACACGGACAGCCATCACCACCTGTGCCCATGGAATTAGGGTGTCTTTAAGGTCCCTTCCCACACAAACCATCCTGGGATTCTACTGGACTGTGTGTCAAGTTGGGAGAATTTTAGGGAAAATACCCTTGGAGTGAAGTGGAGTTGGTTTAACACCCCTGGCCAGGCAGGTCAGGGTGGAAAGTGGGATCATGGAGGAAATGGGAAGACTGTGGAATGATGAACGTTCTGGAGAAGAAATTATTCTCTTCTAATGAAGTGGAGGGTGAGCAGGATATTTGTGATTGAGGATCATCATTTATGTTCCACCTGCAATCACTGAGGCTGCAAATAACCTTCTGAGGAGCTCCTTGATTGCTGAAAGGCTTCAGATATTCCTGAGTACGACAACAATGGAGTTTCATGCCTAAAAAAAAACCCTGTTAAACTGCTGCTTAGCCAACATTAACTCCAGCAATTTTTAATTAACCTGATTTAGAAGCCAAACATATCCCTGATGAAAATGAGAGGGTAGAACACACAGTCATTTATTCCACTACAGTGGCCACGAGTGGTGATTGAGATTTATTCCAGTGAACCTCAGAATTTGGCCACGGGGTTTAGGAATTGGCACGTGGTGGAAGAGATTTGGGGCGTGGAGGGAGAGATTCCAATGGCATTGTGTGGATACTCAGAAAGGGGGAGGCCAGACCTGTTATATTTTTAATATTTTAATGTTCTAAAATATTAAAAAAAGAGGAGTATGAATTGACTGCTAATTAAATCTTTCCAGCCTTTTTTGGCAGTGTCTGATGGAAGGAGGACTCTCCAAGGGTCACTTTGTCACCCTTGGGTTGGTTGTGCTCTGTGATGGTGTTCAAGGGGACAAACTGTGGTGGCAAGCTCAGCAAAGCCAAATTCTCCACCAGAAAAGAAGGATTAACGTGTCCTGCTTGGTCTGTCCAAGGGATTTGTGCAGGAGCACGTGAGAAGGGATGGAGTTATCCCAGTGTTGCTGTTTCCAGGAGGGAAGACCTCCAGGAAGTGGAAGGAAAGCAAAGCAAAATGGTGACAAGGGATAGGAACTGAGGGGATGCCTGGAGCTGTGCTGGGGGGGGTTAGACTGGATCTTAGGGAAAGATTCTTCCCCCAGAGGGTGGTTGGGCACTGAACAGGCTCCCCAGGGTGGGCAATTCCAAACCTGCCAGAGCTCAAGGAGCCCTTGGACGACACCCTCAGGGACGGGGGGGATTGCTGGGGTGTCCTGGAGCTGGACTGGATGATCCTTGTGGGTCCTTTCCTGCTCAGGGTATTCCATGATTCTGTGAAAATGGAGCAGCCTAAGGTGGGGAGGTTTTTGTCCGTGGAATCCACGGAGAACAAGAACTTCCATGGAGTGAGAGTTGGATCAGACACCTGCAGTGGGTGTGGGGCACTCAGAGTCTGTCCAGCCCTGCTCAGGTGATTCTCCCTGAACTCTCCATGACCCATCCAAGTGAAGCTGATGAAAACTGAAGCCTTTTCCAAAGAGCCCATTAAATCCCCTCCCGCGGCTCCGAGGGGTCGGAGCTGCCGCACGCGTTCCTTCCAGGTGGCCTGGCAGGGAATCGGGGCCCTCCCGGGATGGCACTTGTGCAGCCAGGAGTGAAAACTAGCCTGGCATGTTTTCCTACAGCGTCCCTTCAGCAGGAAACTCTGGATAATGGGAGCGCTGAGCACTGGACTAGGTGCTGAGCTCTGCCAATGCTGCCGTGCAGCCAAGGAAAACCTTTCCAAGTCGGTTTTCCATGGCTGAATTCAACATTCAGAGCATGTGTTTCCTCGGTGCTTTTCTTCCAAGCCCAGTGCACATCCCTGTTTTCTGCATTCTAGTCATTACCCTCATTTTCTACAGGAATAAGGATGAAATATTGATGGTCTCACGTGGAGCACATTCCCAGTTCTTCCTACACCCTGGAATACAACCGTGTTTTCCCTCCCAGCTGTGCCCGTTCCCTCTCTGCTCACACATGTTTGTTGCTTTCCGGGGATGTTATCCTGGCTGCCTGTTGATAAAAATCCGGATTTGTTTGCTCTCATTCCAGGTTATCCCACGGGATATCCCACAGCTGCCCCGGCCTACAACCCCAACATGTACCCGACCAGCAGCCCCGGCTACGCCCCAGGTAAAAACCCCTCTGTGGAGGAGGGAATTCCAGCAGTTTCCATGTGCTTGTCAGCCAATCCCTTCCTGGGAAGGAGCCTCTGTTGGGCTCTTCCCTTCCTAACTCTGCCGTTAACTTCACGCCTTCCTTTGGGAATATTTGTCTGCGTTGCAAAGCACTTTGCAGCCACGAGTTATATCTTGATACGAATCCCAGGAATTTTGCAGCCCTCAGCACTGGGATATCAGCAGATTGATGGCATTGATTCCCTTCTCTATGTATGTCCTGCTCTCCTTCCATGCCACAGCTGCAGGAATGTCAGGAGCTGTGTCCTGTTTGGGGTCTGGATCTCCCATGCCATGTCTTTCCCGTGACACTGCCAGAGTCTGTCCCTGTGTCTCCTCCTGTCCTTCACAAACTTGGGCCAAACCTGGGAATTCTTCTTCCCCTTTGACAGCACCAGCTGCTTTCTTGTCCATAAAATCTCATTTCCCCCTGGTATTCCCAGGGATCTGTTGGGTTTTATTTGGATTGGTGTGCTTCTGGGAAGGTCTTTAGCTGCATTTCTTCCCGCTGAAAACCTTAGGAAATGAGTTTTGTTCCTGTGCTGGCCACCCTGAAATTCTCCTGGAGGATAAACCACTGGAAGAATAAAGGGAAAAGAGCTCCACAGACTAAGAAAAAGCCCATAAATTTATTAGTAGCTTGTCCTGCCAGAGCCTGGCAACGTCCTCCCTGCTCAGCCAGGGATGTAAATCCTGCAGCATTCTGGAATGTTGGCCTGGAGCTTGGAGTGGAAGGTGTTCCTCCACACAGCACGGGGTTGGAACTGGATGATCCTTAAGATCCCTCCCAACCCAAACCATTGTAGGATCCTATGGATCTTCTTGGGACTGGCACTGTAGGAATAGGGAAGTGGAGCCAGTCGTGATCCCTCTTCCAGTGTCAGGTTTCTGGTGGATTTTTGCTGATGTTTGAGCCCCAGAATAGGATAAATTCCTCACCTGTTTATTCTAAAGGAGCCTTTCCCAAGCAAAAGGATGAGTTGGACTCCATGATCCTTGTGAGTCCCTTCCAGCTCAGGATATTCTGGGGTTCTACGAATTCCAATTCAGGTTCCTGCCTTGTGTGATTTTCCTGTTGCTTTTTTCCAGTTTTTAGAGGGAGAGACACAAGACAAACCCCCAGCATTGCAAACTCTGCTGGTTGCAATAAACCAGCATTTATTTAGGATTTTTTTAGGATACTCTTCTTCCAAAAAAAGGCCTTTTAAGTTGGTAAAAATGAGCATCTGCAGAGACACAATAAAAATAAAATAATATATGTCTTCATTAAACTGCCTGTTCCCTCCCAGGCTTTCTGCCTTCCCACAGTGGTTGTTGTGGTTTAACTCCCTTCATCAAGGCTTCTCTTTTTATTTTCCTGAAAGTAGGACACACACTTTCCTCCTGGAGCCTTTAGCTGCACTTATTAATAATGCAGGGGAGAAGGACGGTTTACAGCAATGCCCTTGCATTGCAGAATGAGAGAATTCCAAAATCAGGAATTGTGGGACAGGATGGAGGCTCTGAAATCCTGGAATGGGTTGGGTTGGAAGGGTTCATACATTTTTTTTTCCCATTTCAATATGACTAAGGGTCCTCTGTAGGGACCCAGAACTTACATTGTTTGCTCAGTTCCCACCTGGATTAAACAGATAAGGAATAAAAGCTCTTGATTTTATTTATTTTAAGGTGGGAGGCAAAACCAAATCCAGAAGACACTGGTTGGAGGTGGCCCTTAAATGATATTAAATAATCATGGCTGGCTTGTGACCCCTGAGAGTTGCAGCTCTTCAAAGGACCAGGAGATATTAATGTTCTGGAAGCCTCCTTGGTTCACCTTCTTTGTAGCTTTAAGTGATGGATTCTCCAAGAATCCGTGATTTAATCTCCAGAATGTGGGAATCTCCACCCCAAATTACCTGGACTTTGTGGTGGGTTTGATGTGGAGAGGGAAAACCTCAGAGGAAGGACTGAGTGGAAATAAATTGTGTCAGTCTCGGAGATTAAAAAACCTCTGGGAAATCCAGAGGCAAAAAAAGAATCTGATCCTGAATAAAAGCAGAAGGGAAGGAGTGTTTCTGTCCCAGGGCTGGAGTTGGGTCTCCAGTGGGATGTTGCTGGGTGCAGTGTGCCATGGAAAATAAACCAGGCAGCTTGGAAATCCTTCATCACTCCCAAAGCTTTGGGAGAGGGTGAGGCTGGAGCAGGAAGTGCCTGAGTGGAGGAGAAACTGGGCTTGGATCTCTCTCTTCCCACAAACCTCCTGGTTTCACAGAATCCCAGACTGGCTTGGGTTGGAAAGGACCTTCCAAATCATCTCTTTCCACCCCCTGCCATGGGCAGGGACACCTTCCACTAGACCAGGTTGCTCCAAGCTTTATCCTATGTGAATCCTGTTGGTCCCTCCTCGAATCCCACAAGGTTTGGCTCTTGAGATTCTTCTGGATTCTTTTTCTTGGCACCATAAATACTCTTCCACAAACTGGGACACAGGAAGACCTGCCCAAAGCCACTACTGGCCTTCCCAGAGTTCCTGAGGACCACCCAGCGCTGGGACAGGACGGTCACAGTGACCAGTGGTGGTGCCTCCAAGGGTTTTCCTGGGAATAAAATGCCTCACGCCCCAGGCTCAACCCCCAGGCTGTTTGGAGGGACAGAGGTGACCATCTGGGGAGGGATGGTGGACACAGATCTGCAGGTCCCTCAGCTCAGTTGTTGTCTGTAAAAGGTGGGAGTGGAAGGGAAAGAGCAGCAAAATGATTCCATAAATGTGGGAATTGTCTCTCCACTGCTGTGTGTGTGACTCCTCTTCTCTGCCTCCACCCAAGCCACCCTCCTGATGAAGCAAGCCTGGCCTCAGACCTCCTCGTCCTGTGCCACCGAGGGCACCTTCCACCTCCCGGTGGACACCGGCACCGAGAACAGAACCTACCAGGCCTCTTCTGCAGCTTTCAGTAAAGACACTTTTCCTCTCCGGGGTTTGATTGCCTGATCTGGACCCCTTTTGGGTGTTTATTTAGGAATGGGGTTCTTTGGAATCATATTTGGGTTGGGAGGGATCTTAAAGACCACCTCCTTCCGACCTTCCTGTCTTGGGTGCCTTCCACTAGGCCAGGCTGCTCTGAGCCTGGTCCATCCTGGACTTGATGGATGTGTTAAAGCCATGAGAAAGGAGAGCACTGACGCTCCTGCTGCTCCTCCAGAGGAGGAATCCTCCTGGAAGTGGAGAAGGTGAAACCCCTCCCTCAACTGTTTGGTCCCCAGGAGTGACCTGGCGTTTATCTCCAAAGGGACATTATTTCCTACCCCATTTAAATGGAAAGAATTCCAAACTAAAGCCTGATTTTCAAGGGACAGGGCTGAAATTCTGGCTGAGCAGAAGCAGGGGGAGGAGATACTGCTCAGGGATCATGGTCAAACAGGCTTTTCCAGGTGGAGCCTTGGAATCTCATCCCTGAGGAGGACAAACGGTGCCTCTGGGAGGGCTGATAAGCTCCCTGATAAGGCAGAACCTTTTAAAAGCCTTTGGGAGGCTTTCTCTTGGAAAAGGGATGTCCCTACAATTCTCTGGGGACCTAGGACATGGTGCCTAAATTCACACCAGGCCAGGTTTGACCAAGTTGTGTGTGTGAATATTTGGAAAAATCCCAGCTTGTAATTAGTAAAAAATTAGATCTTGTTTGGTGAAATCAGCAATTTTAACAGAAACTGGAGCTTAAAGGCTTGTTGTTGTCCCCACCTCCAGACACCCCTCAGGTGCTGAGGACTGGCAGCTCCCAAGGTCTTTCTTGGAAAAAACGAATCCAGAACTGAAAAAAAAATAAAATCCACTAGATGGAAAAACAAGAGGCTGAAGGCTTTAATTTTTTTAATTTCTCCTAAAAAAAACGCAAAACTTGAAGTATTCTTGAGGGGTTTTTCCCCATTTAGCAGTTAAGCAACAATGTTTAATTAACGGAGCCTCTAAAGGTTGGGAATTCAGGTGCTGTGACATCCCATCCTTAGGGCAGGTCACACCTCCTTTAGATGTTGCTCCTTAGATGTTGCACCTTCCATGAGGTTTTATGGCACCTCCCTACCAGGATCCTTCATTTTAGTTTATTCCCCACGTACTCAGCCTCTCCTAAATGCTGGAAAATGAGTTTAAGTTTCTTTAGGCCTTTGATAAGGTCTCAGTGTGGGACTTGGATGCTCCGGATAATGGGCAAGACCAGGGGATGCATTTCCTTTTCCTTAAATCCAAGCAGAAGAAAGAGAACAATTCCAATCTGCCCTGTGAGGACCACAGAGCCTTCAAGGGATGAAATACTTCAAGGCACCCATCATTTTCCCCTGGTGGGTGTCACAGAATCCTGGAATCCTGGAATGGTGTGGGATCTTGAAGGGATTTGTTCCAAACCCTGGTGATGGGCAGGGACACCTTCTGCTATCCCAGGTTGCTTCAAGCCCTGTCCAGCCTGGCCTTGGAGAGGCTGCTCCACCCCTGGATGCTTCCAGGGGTAGAGCAGCCTCTCCTCTGGGCAAATCCTTCTCCATGGGATATCAGTAGATGCTGGTGTGTCCCTCCATGCCCAGGGAGCAGCCAGTGCTCCATGACCAGCACCCCGAGCTCCTCACATGTGTGTGACCCAGCTCTGCCACTGCAAATCCAAGCCTAAAGCCGAAATTACTCCTGTCTTTCCCAGGATACACCGCAGGGACTCCCTACAAGGTACCACCGACCCAGAGTAACAATGCTCCTCCTCCCTACTCGCCGTCTCCCAACCCGTACCAGACTGCCATGTACCCCATCCGAAGTGCCTACCCCCAGCAGAACCTGTACACACAGGTAGGTGGGGCCTCCCGGGGCGTGGGGCCTCCTCACCACATCCCAACACGGCTCCAAGCTCCCTGTGGGAGTCTCCTCGGCTCCCAGGGCTGAGTGCCCATGCCCACCGCAGGGTGGAGAAGCTTGTGGTGGGACTTCGGGATGGTGGGGTGTCTCTTCTGCCTCCTCTGTTGGATGTCAGGGTGCATCCCAGTGGATTGGCCCTGTTGGGAATTGGGGCCTTTCCTCCCGAATCACAGTGGCTGCCAGGGATAGTCCTGGGTGATCCCTGCACCCCACTCTCCCCACCCAGCCCAGCTCTCAAACACTGCTCTTCCCCAAGGCCCCGGGTGAGTTGGGGTCACCCCAAGGTCCCTTTGCTGCTGGTCATTGGCATCACCCTCCTGCCACCTCCCCTGTGTCCCCTTCACCAACACCAGCCATGACCCGGATTCGTGTCCTCCCGGAGCAGCTCCTCCCTCAGTACCTGGATGGGATTTCCAGGCCCACCTTCCCTGCTGCTGCACGGCCACCACCTCCAGCCATGTGCTGGGATCAAGAGCCTCTGCAGGGATGCAGTTCAGGCCAGATGTCCTCCAAAAACCACCTTAATTCCCATTCCCACTGAAGATCATGAGCTTCCCAGAGCCATCTGGCCCTTCAGCTTCCCTGGCTTTTCCTCTCCTCTTTAATGTCCAAAGACCAACTTCTCCAGCAGCCCTGGAGCTGCCTGTCCTGGAGATGGCCTTTCTGTCCCTCATGTTTCAGGCCCTTCATTGTTTTGGGTGTGGAGCTTTTTCTGTTGGCTCCTTTTATTCCCTTGTTTCCAGAGTCTCTTGAGTCTGGGCAGCCTGGATTTTGGAGCCCTGTTGGAAACCCAAGGAGATGATACACGTCCCAAACAAGCACCTTGGGATCATCCAAGAGCCCCTTATCCTTTTCTTCCATCTCTTGTTCCTTTTCCACACCAGCAGCCAAAGTCTTGGTGTCCAGGTCCTATTTCATCCCACCAAATGGAGGTTTGTCCCTGATGGATTGACTCCTTGATCCGTGATGCTGATCCCCGCTCAGTCCCGTTGCCTCCATCCATCCCACACATCCACAGGGTCAGCTTCACCATTCCTTGCCCAGGTCTCACAAGTCACAGGAGAGAGACCCTGGGAAGCACCAGCCCTTTGGCAGCGCTTGAATCCTGGGATTGTTTAGGTTGGGAAGGCTCTGTAAAAACATGGAATGACGGTGGGTTTTTTCCCCTCCTTCTCCACCAGGGAGCTTATTACACCCAGCCGGTGTACGCGGCGCAGCCCCACGTCATCCATCACACCACCGTGGTCCAGCCCAACAGTATCCCGTCGGCCATCTATCCCGCTCCGGTGGCCGCGCCCAGGACCAACGGAGTGGCCATGGGAATGGTCGCCGGGACCACCATGGCCATGTCAGCAGGTAAGCAGGGAAGTCTTTCCATGCCCTGCACTTCCATCTCTTGGTGGGATGTATCCAGGCAGCCCATGCAGGAGATTTATCCCAGATGAAAAATTCCCAACCTTAAACTCTTTCCTCTGACTGTCCCATAAGTATGGGAATCCCCAGGTTTGTCCACTCCAAACAGTTGGATTTCTCTCCTCAAGTTCTCTTTTTTTAGGGCTCTTATGGCCTTGTTTTTGTTCGACAGTATCCTTGGTTTCTCTCTCCCAATTCCTCCATGTTTTATGTGCAGGATTCCTTGGATTGCTGGCATGTGATGGGCTGGGTTTATTTGTTTCCAAAGCCTGTATTTCTCTCATTAACAATTCTTATTGTATATTGAATTATGCCAAGAAATGCATCATTCATCCTTTTGCATCTGCACTGGCTGGGAAATAGGGCTCTATTATGGGATGCAAGCCCTGTTCCAAGCAGGGAGGGGTGTGACAGGAACCACTTGGAGATTTTTGCTGTTGCTTACTCTGAGAAGTGGATTAATTAATGCATGTGGGATGTGTTAGAATTCCATTAATTTGTAGAGAGATACCCAGAAACCAGGAATTTGATTTGAGCAACCAGTTGCTCCGGGAACAGAGCAGTCCAGGGCTGTTCTCCCTTCCCATGTAGGCACTGTGCAAATTCCAGCTTAAAATTCCTCTGGCTGAAAAAAGAGGTTACACCAGGCAGTGCCTTCATGGCTGGGAGAGGATCAATCCTGCTACATCTCAAGACTCTGGGGGTTTAAAGGAAGCAAAAGAACTCCTGGGAGATAAGTGGCAAAGCTCATCCCAGTTTTCCCTGGAAGAGCTCTTGGGGTTTTTTTCTTACCTCCCTTTGCATCCCTCATCCCTTCCAGTTTGTTCCTTGGATGTTTCAGTCCCCTGTCGTAGTTTAGCCCAGTGCCTTCAGTGGGTAAAAGATGTCAGCAGGTCAGCTGGGCTGGTCTTTAGAGACAAGGAAACTGGGGAAAAAAAACAAGGAAAACCCTTAAAAAGATGAGGTGATGACCAAAAGTACCATGGAAAACACGCTGGAGCTTCAGGTGTGTTTATTCCTCATGGCGCTGGTTGATCCCAACCACAAGTCCGGCACCTTCCAGTGAGGTCTCATGGGCAGAAGAATATTTGGGATGATGGAAAAGCTAAAAGGAGGCAGCTGGTGCTGTTCCTGCCCCTGGGATGGGCACCACTTCCCTGAGGGAATTCTCCTTGATCCGTGTTTCCCTTGCAGGAACCTTGTTGACCACCCCCCAACACACCGCCATTGGAGCACATCCCGTGTCCGTGCCAACGTACAGGGCTCAAGGAACCCCCACCTACAGCTACGTACCTCCACACTGGTAATCCACTGGCCAATCCATGTGAGTGATCCCTCTGCTCCACCCTTGGGCATAAATTAACCTCCAAACCTTAGCCAGCCTGACCTTGGACACTTCCAGGGATGGGGCAGCCATGACTTCTCTGGGCAACCTGTGCCAGGGCCTCCCCACCCTCACAGGAAGGAATTTCTTCCCAGTATCCTCTCTGGCAGTTTAAAACCATTCCCCTTTGTCCTATCCCTGCATTCCCTTATCCAGAGTCCCTCCCATCACTGGGATATGGGTTTTTCCCTATTAAAAGGGGATGTCCCTTGATGATCTGGGAGATCATCCTGTCCATGAGCACCAGGGTTGCTGCACATCCCTGTGATGCCCAGGATCCCAGAAATCTCAGGGTTGCTGCACATCCCTGTTGTGCCCAGGATCTCAGAAATCCCAGAGTTACTGCACATCCCTGTCATGCCCAGGATCCCAGAAATCCCAGCTGCTTGTTCTTCGTTCATGGTGTCCAACTAATGCAGTTGATGGGAACACCGGGAGTCAGCAGAGATCCCACCCAGCCCTGGGCTTATCCCAAATCTCTCCTTGTTGGACACATTCTACTGGGCTAGTCCTGCCCAGGACAAATTGGTGGGCAATTAGCAGGGAGCATCCCATCTTCATATCCTTGGCATTGGATCCCACCACTGAGCTCAAGGAATTGTCCTCAGGGATGGTTAAATTCCATATGGTGCAGGAGTGCAGAGAGCAGCCCTGATCTTCCAGAACTTGCTTCTAACTCCCTGTTTTTGGGTGTTTTCTCTTTCCCAGATCCGGAATCAAACATTGTATGCAACTCCACAAGTCTTACATCGGTGCCCCGGCCCCTGGGCCGCAGCACCTCGTCTGTTTGCAAGAACAAAACTCAACAAACCGAGTGCAAGGGTCACTTTATGCATCCTTTAGTGGTTTTTGTAAAAGCTGCTTTTTCTAATCTTCTGCCTCTCTTTGATTTCCCCCCCCCGCCCCCCTCCCACATAAATCGTGTAACACACATGACTGACACCGAGCAATAGTAAAGTTCTCTCTCTTTGGTCCTTGGAAAGCTCAGAATCTTCACTTTGCCAGCTGAGTGGTGCAAAGATCCCCCCACTTCGTGTTCTTTTGGGTTCTCCTTCTGTCGTCGTCGTCATTGCCCGAGCCTAGATTTGCAGCGTGGTTGATGTTCGGGGGACTGTGAAAAGCACAGTGCTGGTTTTTCTTTAGACAGGCAGGTTTGTTCCCATTTTTTTTTTTTTTTAGTCGGAGATGATCAATTATTCAATCTTCCGTCACGTATTCCGAGCAAAATTGGTGTCTTCCAGAATAGCTGTCGTGGTAGGTTCGAAATCTGCAGTGGAATTCTGAACTCATCCTTTCTTTTTGTAGGAGTAAGAGGATATAAATGTGGGTAGCGCTTTTGTTGTAGGGAGGGCGAGGACTGGTCACCGGCGGGGGCCTTGGGCTGCTCTTCCAACTGGGAAAATGGATGGTGGCTGATGGGAAGGGACACGTGCCCTGGGAGCAGCTTGGGAAAATGAGGTGCTCCCCGTCAGCCACGTCCTGGGGCTGCGGGAGGGAGAAGGGGAGAGGTGGGGAAGGAGGCAAGGAGATGGCCCAGGGTTGGTCTGAAGAGCTTCTCCAGGTCCAAAGGTTGGTCTGAAGGGCTTCTTCAGATCCAAGGTTGGTCTGAAGAGCTCAGGATATGGTCTGAAGAGCTTTTCCAAATCCAAGGTTGGTCTGGAGAGCTCTGAGTTCAGGGGTTGGTCTGAAGAACTTCTCTAGATCCAAGGTTGGCCTGAAGAGCTTCTCTGAGTACAGGGTTTGTTCTGAAGAGCTTCTCCAGGTCTAAGGCTGGTCTAAAGAGCTTCTCTAGATCCAGGAGTTGGTCTGAAGAGCTTCTGCAGAGCATGGTGGTGTAGGAAAAGGGCATCTGGTTGATGGAGACGAGTTTTCAAGGCAGGGTGAGGGGAAGGTGGGTGGCTTCACCCTCCACCCGTGTCACTGGCAGGGCTGAGACCAAACTTGAGGGTTGAGGTGCCCCCGCCCATTCCTTGGGCTCTGAGACTTCCAGGGGAAATGTCCATCCAAGCACAAACACCAGCACCATGGAGAAGGGCCGGAAGGGGTGGGAATTCTGGCTGCTCTGCCAGGGGAGATGTGGGATGAGAGGAAGCAATAGCAATAAACACGTCGCCTTCCTCCCGGGAAGCAAAGGTGGGAGCAGGGAAGGGATCCCCAGGTGACGTGGGGCAGGGTGGGGGATGGTGGTCACACACAGGCTGTGGGCACCAGGGGGATTTCGGGGGGTTTGGCTCAGCCAGGGACACAAGGACATGAAGATGTCCCACCTTGGGGTGTCCCAGTAGAGCAATATGTTGTCTCAAGAGCAGCAGAGGGAGTTTGTGTTTGCAGACAACTTGTGGCCAGTTTATTTTTAAACCCTTCTCACTAAACCCAACGTAGAAATGAGGCTTTGCTTATTTATTTCTCTTTTCCAAGGCAAACACTTGGTTGGGTTTTGGGTTTTCCCTCAACGTGCCAAAAATGTTCCCTGTTGGCAACTCTCCTGCCCCTTGGGCTCTGAGGCTGTCAAATCCAGAGCCTTTGGAGAGGTCAGATTTGGAGCTGGGGATGGGAATCCCTCAGGGCACTGCCTGCCTTGGGTTTCCGACCCTTGTGTGATGTTGAGTCAGTGTTGGGTGCTCCGCTTTGGTCGTACCTGGATCACGTCTCCTGATGGACCTGAGGGCTCTGGAGGCTCACCTGGACCCTCCATGGTGGTGTAGAGGTCAGGCTGGAGAGCTTTTTGGAAGAGAAGGTGACCTGTTCTTGTTGCTTTTGGTGGTGTCACCCATCTTGGCTTCTGCTGCCACTGGGAGGAGCTCCTGGAGCTCCTTGAGCATGGACCAGATGGGAAGGAAGAAGCTTAGGGATCCAGGAGGACTTTTCCAGCCACTGTTTGCTCTGTTGGGTTGGGTGTTGGCAGCAGCACCTCTGTGGGGGGTTGTTTGGTTGGTTCTGCTGGTTTTTAATGGAAGTGTTGCTGGATTTTTAATGGAAATCCAGAGTAGAGCCCTGGTTGACCTCCCCAAGCTCGAGGGGAGAAAGTGGGGACACCCCTGTGGGCTGGAGAAAGTGCACCCTTGGGCTGCACTTCAGGAAGGAAAGGAGAAAGAGAAAAGGGTCCAACAAGCTTTGTGATCAGAGCCCAGGCTGTGCAGAGGACCCTTCCCAGCAGGCACCACCCTCCCACTATCCCAGACACCCTTCAGGACTTTAGGGACAACCCCTAAAATTTCAGCCCATGGCTGGGAAGGAGTTGTTGGGCTTTCTCCTGAAAGGAAAGAACACTAAAAGTGGGGAGGAAGCTCCAGGAGTTGAACACGGAGGGTCACCCAGTGTTCCCACTCAGATGGGCAGTTGGGTTTGAACCCCTTTGAGTAGATCAAGAGCAGCTCCCATGCTCCTCACCTTGTTATTCCCAGGCAGAAATCCTGATTAACTCAGCCAAGTGTGGAGAGGGGAAACATTTGGCACCTCTTGGGCCACAGGCTTCACTGAGGACCTTTGGTAGCCAGGGCTGAGTTAGACTTGGGCCACCACGTGGCTCCAGGGCCACCACATGGCTCTGGGGCCACCACGTGGCTCTGGGGCCACCACTTGGCTCTGGGGCCTCCACACAGTGCCAGGCTCAGGAAGTTCCTTCCCGAGGTGGCTCTGTGGGGCTGTGCTGGTGGGGAGACACTCCTGCCCTTCCCTTGATGCCAAGCCCTCTCCTTGGTCAAATCATGGCTTGAGGGAAGGTCCTGGGGAGGTCACAGCCTCCCTTGGGTGGGGACAGTGCTGGGGGGCCACCAGCTTCCCAAATATTTCAGCTTTGCTGATGTTGATTATGGAAAAGGGTTTTCCATCGCCCTGGGATTAGTGGGGAAGAGCAGGAGGGGTTAAACCATCCAGGGAAGTGTCTGAGATTAAAATTCCAGCTAAAGAGGAGGGAAAATAACTCCCAACCCGCTGTTCCCACCATTAACCCATCCCTGCCTTTATCTTGGCTTTAAAACACCAGCTCTAGTGTGAGATTTGGGGGGAAAAATAGGAATATTAGTCCTGGTGGTGACACCCCCCCCCCCCCTTGGAGCCTGAACCCTTCATGCCTCCAAGTGGCTGAGCCCTCCAGGCAAGGATTTGCTCCTGGATTTTATGGATAATGAATAACCCAGTTTGTGCAGTTCCAAAAAACCCCAGTTTTTGCCTTGAAGTGTTAAAATTTAAGGGGTTTGCTCTAATGGTGGATGTTCGGAGGATCAGGTTTTCCCACAGCCACCGGAATATGGCCCTTTCCAGAGCCCCCTCCCACCCTATTTGCCATGCCCTGTGTTCCCCCAGGGAATTTGGGATGATGTGGTTCCCAGCTGGAGGGCGTGAAATCGGATCTTGCTTTTTTTATGGGGGCAGAAAACCCACATTTGGGGCTTTATTTTTGATAGGAAAATCCAACCAGCCAACAAGAGCAATAAGAGCCGCTGGATACCCATAAATCCAGGGGGTTTTTGGGGGAGTTTGGGCTTATTTTTTAATTGCCAGTATTTTCAGGCCCTCCAACTGTCGTTCCCAAAACGTGGTGACCCTCTGCCCATCTTCCCTTGGCTTTGCCAGGAGCTCCTGAGGCAGGAGCAGCTTTCAGATATTCTCTGCCGTGTGCTGGCATTCCCATAGGGAAAAAAAAAAAGAAATTAAACCCTTCTATGGAGCTTGGGAGGCTTGGAAAAGGCGTTTTTGTGGTGTGTTGCACTCATAGATTCTCCAGTAATTTGTGGGAATGTTGGCAAAGCAGGAATAGGAAAATCTGTGGTTTAATGGCAGCAATTCCCATTTGGAAACGTTCAGTTGGGCTGTTTGTAGGGAATAATCTTGATGCAACAAGGCCACCTGCAGCCTCCCTGTGTCCTCCTGCAAGGGATGGAGCTGGGGAGTTTTCCTAGGGGTCTGGGATAAGGGAAGGGATTTGTAGGGTCAGGATCCATCGGGAAGCATGGTGAGGGAGGGAGAATGAGGCCCTCCCATTCCCAGAGCACGGAGCAAACCCACGTGGCCTCCTCCCCCTCTTTTTATGTCATTCATTTTGTAATTAATTTTAATTCATGTTGACCTCCAGACCATCTCGGTTTTAAATATTATTGGACCTTTTAAACAAAAATAAATACAAAAAAAAATCCCCAAAAAAATACCAAAAGCAAAAGAATTTAAACCCAAGAATAACAACGTCTTCCGAGCCTCCAAGGTGTGAAGGGAACATGGCCTGGAGCTGCTGCCCTGGAGAGCCCCCTCCCCCCAAGCCTCAGTTTGTCCATCTGGAATTCGGGGTTGTTTTCCCGTTTGTTTTCTGTTCTGGTTTCGGTTCTGAAGATCAGGTTTCATGATCTCCCTGACAGATCCCAGCCAAGAGTTTGTAACTGTCCGATGTTTCCTGTCAGATGTAGAACATTCGAGAACGATGAAAATGTTTCCAAAAAAAAAAAGTCAATAATAAAAAAATAATAATAAAAAAAGAAATAAATAAATAAAAGAAGCCCAACGGGGTTTGGTGGTCGGGGTGGTTTTTTTTTTTTTGGCACAGGGAGGTGGTGGGGGGAGTGAATGGGATGGGCCATGAACCCATTGCTGGGGCGATGGTGGAGCTTGATGGCCTCCAGCCCAACCTTGGGTGGGTTGTCCCGATGATCCCAATGTGATCCTATAGAAACAGCTCCTGTGGGAAGTGAAGTGTGCGGCCTTCACAGGGAGCGTCCCCACTGTGTTCTCCTAGGCTGGTGGAGACTTCGGATAGAGGGTGGATGGAGGCAGGAGACCAGCTTTGGCTGGAGCAATCCATGCCCAGTGGGGTTGTTGGCGAGGTGGGAGTTATCCCGTGATCCAGTGACTGTCGTTATCCTGGCAGCTGGTGATGGAGGGAAATCAGGAGCTCGTGGTGGTCCTGGAGGGGCTTCAGCTCAACAGACCCAGGAGGTGACCATGGATGTCATCCAGTGGCTCCCAACGGAGCTGTGCGGTGGTTCCCAGAGATCGTGTCCGTCAGGCTGCCACACCAGACCTTGGCAAGGGGAATCCTTCCCACCACCTGGGCAGGACCTTGGATTTGCTGTGCTGCCACTGGACACCTCAGTGGCAGGAGCAGAGGCCGAGCTGCACCTCCAGCTCCTCATGGCTCTGAGTGGGACTGGCTTCACACAATGCCCCGTGTCCTCCAGGGGTCTGTGTGGGTGTCACTGTCCCCCCGAGGCCACCCCCGGGCCAGGAGCCACCTGTGGAGGACAAGGGATGGACCACGGGTGAGGGGGGCACACATACAGAGCTCCATGTGCACATGTGTGGGGCTGAACACATGTGTTGGTGTGAACACACAGAATCCCAGGTTCACGGGGGTTGGAAAAGCCCTCTGGGATCACCAAGTCCGCCCTGTGCCCGATGCCCACCTTGTCCCCCAGCCCAGAGCACTGAGTGCCACGGCCAGGCCTTCCTGGGACACCTCCAGGGGTGGGGACTCCACCTGCCTTGGCAGTCCCTTCCAGTGCCTGACCACCCTTTCCAGGAAGAAATTCCTCCTGATGTCCCACCTGACCCTCCCCTGGCACAGCTGGAGGTTGTTTCCTCTCCTCCTGTCCCTTTTCCCTGGGAGCAGCACTTGACCCCTCGGCTCCCCCCTCCTGTCAGGGAGTTGCAGAGCCAGAAGGTCCCCCCTGAGCCTCCTTTTCTCCAGGCTGAGACCTCCCCAGCTCCCTCAGCTGCTCCTGCTGGTCCAGCCCCTTCCCAGCTCCATTCCCTTCCCTGGACACACTCCAGACCTTGTCTGAGGGTCCCAGAACTGCCCCCAGGGCTGGAAGTGCCCCAGCAGTGCCAGCACAGGGACAGGCAGTGCCCTGGCCCTGCTGCCACACTGTGGGTCACACACATTGGGTACCACCCAGGCTCGTGTCCATCCACTGCCACAGCACCCCCAGGGCCTTTCCCAGCTTCCCACCTGCTCTGTCCCAATCCTGGAGTGTTCCATGGGACTGTGTCCCGCCCCCCCCCCCTCCATGCCAGGCACACGTGGCCACCAGCACGGGCAGCAGGGAGGGAGAACAGGGCGGGAAGGGGGGGGAACGTGTTCAGGGACACGTGAGCCCGAGCAGCTGCCCATGAGTCACCAGCAGCCCCCTGGCCGTGCCACCCCGTGTCACCCTGCAGTGTGGGACACCCCCTCGCTCCTGCCTTCGTGTCCCCAGAGCTGAGGCGGGTGTGTGTAGAGGTCCCTGCACATACAGAAGTGGCCATACCCCCCTGCACAGCCTTCTGCCCCCATAGAGGGCATGATCACTCATGCAAATATATGCTAATGTGCTGTTGCATACCTGCTCTTAGGGAGGTATAGAGCACGAAGGGGGGACAGGGGTGTATTAAGGGGGGCACGGGGGTGTATTCAAGTCCCTGGCTGCTGCAGGACACCCCAGGGGCCACCAGCAGCGTGTCCCTGCAGCACCCCTGGGCATCAGCACCCACCCCACCCCACCCCCCCAACACACCTGAAACACAGAGGGGTGAAAATAAATAGGTGATCAATTTTTAAAGCGTTTTTTTAAAGCCTCCCAGCTACTGGAAGAGGCCTGGGGGTGATGGGGCTGCTCCAGCCTCACCCCTCAGCAGATGCCCCAATGGGGCTTCACAGCATATGCACCCCTCTCCAGCCTCCAGAAGTCCCGGTTTTCCCCTCCAAGAGCTCCCCCGACCCTCCCTCCACACCCCATCCCTCACCTCGGGGGGGCCGTCGGTGCTTTTCAGCCACGGGGGTCTCATCCCGCTGCCGGGGAGGGGCCCCCGGAGGGGCTCAGCCCCCGCCTCGCTCCTGAGCTCCGGGATCCGGGACACGCGGAACCTGCCGGGGGCGGAGGGAGCGTCACATCAGCCTGTCCCACCCTGGGGAGGGGACACACCCCTGCTGGGGTGGGGTCCCTGCTCACCTGCCGATGGAGAGGATGGTCACCTCGCCGGGCTTGGGGACCTTGGTGGCCCCAGGGGGTGGCAGCACCTCCGGCCACTTCTGTGTGCAGCGGGCGCAGGGGGCCGGGCCCTGCACCGTGTGCGGGTGCTGCTGGTGGTGACAGGAGGGGGCAAACTGCGGCAAGAGGTGCAGCCTGGGGACAGGGGGGAGATGCCACCATCACCACGGGGTTGGTCCCACCACGGGGGGGGTCCTCAGCGCGGCCCTGAGGGGGGTCTTACTTATGCAGGGGGGCCCAGCTCGGTGGCATCAGCTGCTGCCTGCGATGCTCCTTCAGCAGCTCCTCCAGCGCCGCCGCGTTTTCTGGGGGCGGGAGACACCGAGGAGGGGGGGGTCACAGGGGTCTGGCCCATGTCACTCCCTTTTCCCCCTCCAGGGACCCCCCCTGACCTTTCTTCTCAGTGATGAGCCGCACCAGCACCCCGATGGTGTCCTCGTTGGTGTCCTCCAGCTGGTAGATGGAGCTGGGACCTGCGGGCAGAATTTGGGGGGCGGGGACACGACTCGGTGATGGGGGATAAAGTACCCCAAAAAGAGCAGGAAGAAACGAGCAGGATGTCCTGGGACAACGAGGACCAGGAGTCGCAGGGATGGGCTGAGGTGAGGTGGGTGTGGGGGGGGCTGAATGTGGGGGGTTGGATGTGGGGGAGCTGGATGTGGGATCACCAGACGGTGGCACGGCACGGCCGGGGCTCACCGGTGCCGCCGGGCTGGGGCTCCTTGCTGGCGGTGCAGTGGTACCCCTTCTTCTTCAGCAGGTTGCACACCAGGATTCCCAGCAATCCCATGGCACAGAAGACCGGGACGATGGTCAGCACGGCCGCCTGCGCCGCCGCCGCCTCCTCCTCTTCCTCCCCCCTCGGGGTCACCCGTGTCCCGTTGGTTCCCAGTGCCCGTCCCGGCGTTTCGGGGCTGCGGACCCGCCGCCGGCCTGAGGGGGAGGCACCGGATCAGCCTCCGGAAGCGGCTTTCCTGGGATTCAACTCCGTTTTCCCAGGAGCCCTGCTTCAGCTGGAGCCCAGGGAAGCAGAAGCCGTTCCCAGCTGCCGCATCCCGGCAGGACAGCACTGCTCATCCCAAGGGGGCACATCCTGCGGCGTCCCAGGGGCGAACACAAGCTCTGCCGTCCCCCCCGAACCCGGGGTGGCACCGGCAGCTCCAGCACCCACCTGGGCACCCCGGGGTGCTGCGGGGGGCAGCGGCGCAGGGCAGGCACCGGCCCCGGGGGTCCCTCTCCCCTTCTGGGCTGTAAAACCTGCGGGGCGGGAGGGCAGCAGGGTCAGGATCCGGCCGGGAGCGGGATCGGGGGTTCCCGGTGTCCCCTCCCCCGGCTCACCCCGGCAGGCAGGCTCCGCACCGGCTGTCACTTCCCACTGTCCCCGCGGCCACCAGGATCCTGTTCCCGGCCCGGCACCGGGTGTGAGTGGCACAGGGTGTGTCCCCCAGGGAGAAGGTGCCGGGGGGACAAGCTCGGCACGTCCCCCCTGGATCCTGCGGTGAGGGAGAGGGGGGTGAGCGGCGGCTGGATCACGATCCATGTGGATGTGCCGCAGGGGGCACGGCTTACCCCGCTGGGCTCCTCCCCGGGAGGGCATCCCGGGGTCCTGTGCTCCCGGGAATTCCAGCTCTCGGCCCCCACGAGTCTGCTCAGCACCTGTGGGAGAATCGAAGAGCTCAGCGCCGGCTGGTCCAGCTCTGCCGCTGCTCCAAGGCCTGTGCCAGTGGGAATGTGGCTCCAGGGGAGGAGGAGGGGTGATGGGGTGGAGATGAACCCATCACAGGCCACGTGGTGGAGGCAAAACTGTCCCCTGGACCATGGCAGATGCAAACTCTTCACTGGTGGCACGATGGGGGCAAACCATCATCAATGATATGATGGTCACAAACCCATCCCAAATGCCAACCCATCACATGATGGATGCAAATATGGCCCCAGAGATGCCACATTCCTTATCAGCCCCTGCCCTGGAAGAAGATTTGATGAAGGAGAGAAAAGGAGGGAGAAGAATGCGAGGGGGGAAAAAAAACCCTCAATCCAAACTGAGCATCTCCCCAAGTGCTGCAAGTTTCCAGGTGGGAAGTGTTTGGGGATGCCCTGCTGTGGCTGTGGGGTGGTGTCTGAGCAACAGAGGTGCCAAAGGCAGAGAAGCACAAGGATGGGATGGGAATGGATGGGCTGGGAATGGATGGACCAGGCCATACTCACCCCCAGGATGGTGATGAGCCACCAGCGCATCCCGCTCCTCTTCATCACCAGGGGACACCTGCCCAAGGGGGACCACGGGGGGGGTCATCATCCAGGGAAAATCCCAGTGGAGAAGCAATTTGGGGGCCCTATTTCCCCCCACTAGGATGCTCTAAGGCATCTGCCTAAATATCCCTGCACCATCCCCCAAAAAAGCTTTATTGGAGGATTTATGGGATGCCTGGCATCATCAGATCCCAACTCCATCCCAAACTGGAGAGGGACCAACCCCTGCAATGGAGTCACACCACCCATCACCCATGCAAGGAGCAGATGACACTAAATAAAGTTAAAGGAAGGTTTTCCCTGCTCCGGAGGAAATCCTTGTGCACCTGCCACAAGGAAATGAAGTCACTAAAAAGAAAATAAATATATATTTAAACACAAACTGGAGTGGAACAAAAGGTGTTTCCCACAAGAAAATATAAAATTAAAATCTAAGATGAGAGCACGGGGAATGGGGGGAAGGAAGGAAAAACACAACCAACAACCCAAACCCGGATCCAGGCTCTGCATGGAAATCCTGCTGCCCGCATGGAAACTCCCCCGGTCGTCACGGTCCCGTGGGAGCCTTGGTACAGCCTCTGCCTGACGAGTTTGTACTAATTAGTGGCCTGAGATGCAGCTCATTAAACATGAGAGGGGGTACTGGGGGGGGCTGAGCCAGGTATTTATGGGATGTGGGTTGGGACAACCCAAAATGAGCATTCTCTGTGCTCCAGTTCCTCCACCCATCAGGTGCCAGCATGGAGCCAAACAGCCCACCTCTGGAATCCCCATGGCATTTGGGATGTGCCCCTCAAGCACACAGGGAGGAAAATTGCGAGCCAGCACTAGTAAAACTCGAGTTTAAGCCTAATGTGAAGCATTTTAATCCTCTGGGGCTGTGGGATTCAAGCACCTCGGGAACGATGCCACAGGCTGGCACATCCCAGGCTGCCGGAGTATCCCGGCTCCCCAGAGAATTCCAGATGCCCACAAGGGGATTTAAACATCACCAGGAAGAGGGCTGGCCCCAGGTAAAGCAGATCTGAGGCCAGGTTTAATCCAGGGATTAGGGAGATCCCTTAGGTGACCAATAGGGATGCAGGAGGCACAAGGATAAAAGGGTGCCAGTTCCTGGTTGGCACTGGAGCTTTGCCGAGTCACGGCCACCCCAGGGCTCATCACCAGGTTTTGGGGGCCCCCAGGGGCCATCCTAGGAGGGAATGTGGGATGCAGGATTCTGGGATGCCCGGCTGCCCTGGAACGGCAGAGAGAAGCCCTGAAACTCCTGAAACCAACATAATTTGTCCCTCTAAAATCCATGGGAAACAAAAAAACAACGCCATCGGGGCCAGACCTACTTTTGGGGGACCTGCAGCACCCCCACACCCCACCTGGCTGGTGCATCGATGCAAGAGCAGCAAGAAAGGTGACTTGGTTTTGGAACCCTCCCCCAAAATTCCTCTGGGTCACAGAAGCCTTTTATTCCCATTCCTGCTTTAATAGAGCCAGTAATCCAAGGCTGCCCACTGGGACTCCTGGGTTTCCCTCCCTATGCGGGAACAGGGTTTCAGCCGATGGCTCCTGCAGATAAACGGAGCTAGAAAGGAGCAACTGTTCGGGAAAACTTCGGGGAGCAGCTCTTGGAGGCAGCGCGGGACAAGGAGGGGATTGTCCGGCAGATGGAGCGAAACTCGGCGCTGTCGCCTCCCCCGGGGCCCCCTCGGAGCGGTGGGAACAGCGGAACCGCCACAAATATCCAGCATTAAAATCCACTGATCCCAGAGGCAGCGCTGGGATCCCGCCAAACCCGGGCAGCGGCACGTTCCATCCCAATTTTGGGGTGCAGCCCCTCATCACAGCCCAATTTTGGGGGGCAGCCCCTCATCACAGCCCAATTTTGGGGGGCAGCCTCTCACATCAGCGCAGTTTCGGGGGGCAGCCCCTCACCGCAGCATCCCGGCTCCCGCAGCGCTTTTTGGCTGCAAGCCCTGGGATTTTCCAGCTCCCGGCAGCAAAAAAGACCCGCCACGATTCCCAATCCCTATCCCTCTTCCCAGGCAGCCGCTGCCGAGTTTTCCTTAACCTACTTTCCCCCCTCTCCACCCTTTATTTTAACCTACTTCGGCGCTGCCGCAGCCGGAGCCTCCCGGCCCCGCCGGGGGGTCCCCACCGCCCCCACTCCAAGCTCCCCCCATGCCCTTCTTAGCGACAAACACAAGGCAACATCCCCCCACTCTTTTTTACCGCAAATCGGGGGGTCCGGCACCCCAAAAACCAGCACCCCCCGCTCCGTCGCACAACGCAAAGCTGCAGCAACCGCATTCCCAGATCGCTCCAAGGGGGAATTAACCCTGTTCAGGCGAAGGACCCCGAGCCTCCCGGCTCAGAGCGAGCCCCCTCAGGCAGAGGGGGGGATCCCTGGGCCGGGGGTGCCCCTTACCTGCCCCGCCGCGGAGCCCCCCGGGCTCCCCCCGGGGCCACCCCGTTGGTCGCGCCTCCTCCTTATGAATGAACCGAGGGCGCGCTAATTACCACAGGACACGCCCCTTTTCGTGACGTCACGAGAAGATACCCCGCCCCCTGTCGTTCGCCACGCCCCCTATCCCAGCGCCGCGGCAGCGCCGCCTCCTGGGAACTGTAGGAGTTTGGGAATATTGGGCTTTATCCCGCCCTCCTTGGGGTTTTGGGGGGAAAACGCGAGGAGTCGGATCGGGGGGATTTTTGCCTTCCCAGAAGGGATTTTGAAAAACAAAAATAAGGATTTTTTTTTTT